TTTTCTCTCAGACGGAAGGCTGGTGGGACATTTCCCCCTGCTGCATCTGGTGGAGGGAGGGAGAGCAGGGAGCGTGGGAATTTAAAGGCGCAGCAACTTTTTTTTTTCTCAACAAGTTTGGGGCAGAGACTGCTTTGTGGCAGCCTCCTCTCGCCAACTCCCCCTTCCTACCTCCTGCGCTGATAGAGGCTGCTTGGTGGCAGCCTCCTCCCTCCCCCATGTTGCTGCCTCTATGAGAGGCAGCAGCATGGTGGTGTGGGGGAGGGGGGACAGGCGGCACTGCAGACTTGCTACTGGGGGGCACCAGCTCCCTGCTTCTCCCCCCCTTGCTGTCTCTTATACAGAGGCAATGGGGGGGGGGGGGGGAATGCAAGTAGTAGACTAGATTAACTGATAATCCCTAGTTTTGGGGCCACTTCTTTTGTGCCAAAAAGCAAATACTTTCACAGTCCTACAATTAGGTGAATATGAAATCTGGGGAACCCAAACACTAGGGTCTTCATATGAGTGAAACCTTAATTAATCAAAAATGTTGTTGCTGTTTTTCTGAGTTTCTCTCACAGCACAAACTTGTATTATTCTGATGTTTGTGTCATTGGGCTATGATACAATGTGATCAAATATGTATATAACAACATTGCAGGAAAAATATTATTTCCCAAAGTGTTTCATAGGCTGCAAAAAGCAATTTCAGGGTCTGTGAACATCTACTATTTGCACAATTATTCTATACAAATGGTGAGGTCCTAGAAAAATCTTAGTATAGGTGGTAACGCTATAGCAAGGGATTAGCACAAATGGGTTGCCTACAAGACTAATAAAAAAAGAGAGAATGATTCTGTGGCACCTTAGAGACTAACCAATATATATATAGACTATATATAGAATCATGAGCTTTTGTGGGCAAAACCAAGAGATTTCTGGTTTCTGTTATTTCCACTCCAATTCATCTAATGAAGTGGGTTTGCCCACAAAAGCTCATGATTCTGTATATTTTGGTTGGTTTCTAAGGGTGCCATGAGACCAATAGTTTTTAAAGTTACAGACTAACCTGTCAACCCCTCAGAGATTTTAAAAGACTAAAAGATTGAAAATGTTGTCCTGAAAAACCTGAATAGACAACAGAAATAGTAATTTAAAACAGGAATAAAGTATTGTATTGGGGAAACGGGATCTGTATCACTTTATGTAGCAGGGTGCAATACAACAAATCAGATTGGTGAACCCTTATTCAAAGTCAAAAATTGTCAGGACCTCCTTCCACTTTTTACTCTGATAAATTTACTATCATGGATAACAATGATTCACCTATATTGTGTGTGTGTTTCAAGAGGTTGACTAGAGAATACTTGAGGAGGAAGTATAATGAAGTGCAGGAAGTGGAAGAAAAAGATATTCTTTGCATTAGATTTGCAATAAACAGTGCAATGCTTCATGTCCCACCCACCCTTAACTGCTTTTCATGACCTTCCTAGGGACTATTTCCACCATCAACTGAGAAACTGCAATATATCATGGCTTCTCAGCTTGGGGATGATGCAACAACTCTCTGCCTTTCCTCCCATTTTGCAATATGGGAAAGTGCCTGATAGGTCCTGGTTAGATGAGACTTCGCATGTCAGCAAGGGAAAGGCTGAAGAACACTGCAGTAGATGAAGTGTGCTGAAGAGTTAATAAATCTCTGCTTCAAGAGACTTACAACTAAGGACTCAACGAGTCTAACACAGAGAATCAGAACAGTTATCTGGGGAGGTGTTTAGATCATTAGAAGTTTAATGGAGAGGGCAGAGAGATTGACATAATTTAATATTAGACTGTTGCAAGTGTATGCAGTGAACTGTAAGGAGTCAAAGCCTCTAGAGGGGGCAAAAGAAACAAAAAGAGCAGTCAGAATCACGTGGAGATAAAAAAAAGCATCAGGAGCTGAAGACAGGGTTAAGAGTCTCATTAGATTTAATGAGGAGTAAGAAGCCTGAATAGAAATGAAGTAAGGCAAAGATGTAGTCTGAGGAGTAGAAAGATCTCGTTTAATTGTGCTTATCAAAACAATCCATTTCTTTTTAAAGTTCAGAACTGACTGACGCTGTTCAATTTTTATTTACTCCACACTCACATCAAGTTGGGATTCAATTCAAACATGCCGTTTTCCCAGAAGTCCACAGAGCTGTCATGAGTTGTGGCAACAAACCTGAAACACAGTAAATAGTTCATTGACTCACCCGCGTCGAGAGGGATCCTCCCTAAAGGAATTTACAGAACAACAATGGTCCTGTAGGAAGACTTCGCAAACACTCCTTAATTCAATAACCCGCAAGCAGGAGGCATTTGCATCAAGTAGTGAGACCTGGGGCAAGCCAAGGGCTGCCTTGGCCCGGCGAATCTTTTCAAGGGGGTAGAGAGGGGAGAGGCAGCTCTGCAGGGCGGGTTCTTTCCAGTGAGTGTGGGGGGCTCTCCCGTGAGCGAGGGGGCTACGGGCAGGCAGCTGCGGAGGGAGGGACCCTCTCTTCAGAAAGAGGAGGGAAGGGGCGGGCAGGTTTGGGCAGGGGGACTCTCCAGTGAGAGAAGGGGGAGCAGGCAGAGCTGGGGGAGCACTTCTGCGAGTGAAAGAGCTGGGGAGACTCTTGTGCGTTCCCCACAGCGCACAGGCCGGCGGGAAAGCCCTGAACCCCCTCGCCCCCCAGCCGAGCGCCGCGAAGCCCTGCCCCGCCTCTCCCAAGATGGCGGCGGCCCCTCCCCCGATCCCAAGGGCTGGGGCGGAGCCCCTGGAGCCAGTCCTCTCGCAGCTGCGGGGACGGTTATGTGCGAGCGCGGCGGGGCCGCTGTGGGACGGGGCTGGCGGTTGGCAGGAGCCCGAGCGGAGAGAGCTGCGCGCGCCGGGCTCTCCCAGGGTAAGCAGCGCGGCGGGTCTCGCGTCCCCCTCGCACTGGCGGGCTGGGCTGTGGCAGGAGCCAGGCGGGCGGCTGCCTCCGGGCAAACTTTCCCTGCGGGCTCTCCCTGCCTAGGCTCCTGCTCCGCGGCCATGTTGGGCTCCCGTGTGGCCCGGCCGGCGCGGGAGTTGCCCCTGTGGGGATGGGACGGGTGGGCGCCGTCCCGTCCTCGGAGCGGCATCCCCGCCGACAAACTTTGCCCGCGAGGGTCTCCTGCGCCCGGAGTCTCTCCAGGGCAACGTGCCGGAGCCGTCCCCGTCCCCGTGAGGGGTCTTGGGCGCCACAGCGCTGGGCGTTCGTTGTAGGTGCTTAGAGCTCAGCCCGGGCGGCCGGTAACTCACCCTCAGCCCCGCTGCGGGCAGTGCCAGGGCGGGACTCCAGCCCTGCCTCCCCGTCACCTGGCCCGTGACCTGTAGGGGGCGTAGCACGGCTGAATGCCTCTCCGGGAGCTCCCTGCTCTCCTTGGGGGGAGTTGTACCCCGGCCCCCAGGGTTCAGCGTAGCGGGGATTGAGAGTTGGCTGCAGCGGGGAGGATAATCCCTCGTCGGCATCAGTTACGGGAGTGGATTGTGACTGGGGGGAAGCGAGCGAGCGAGCTCCCTGTATTTATGGTCGTTCGAAAGGACTCTGGCGTTGTGGCAGCCGCGGGTGAACCTTTCACTCGCTTCAATGGGAAGAGGGTTGGGCCACAGTCTTCTATGAGTCTGCTTTGTTTCACGTCACCATAAATCACCCTAAATTCAAACTAAAACCCCCACATCTTGGATACTTCTGGGAAAATAAGTATTTGGGTGTAGGAGTTCGTTTGGGATTTGTGCACTGTATTTTGCAGTCTAGATTTATTTTTCTCTAAATAATTATTTCATTTGTGTAATCTTGTCGTTTTCCCCCTCCCCCAGGGTTGAGACAATAATGTAGGGATTGCATCTCATTTAAACTCTTCAAATACATATAATAACTCTTTTAAAAGAGAAATTTCTCAAGTAGCGTATGTAAAATTTGTGATGCTTCTGGAAGTTTATCCCTAGAAGCAAATGTATGTTCTATAGTTCAGTAAATGCCAGCTGCCAGAAGAGGGATTTCTTTGGATCTCTGTGTGTGTATCTTAAAGATATTGAGAGGTGAGTAATTCGCTAATCATGTAGCTGATAGAATTGTGATCCACTACACAATTAGTTGATAAGGGAAGAAGGGCTCAGTCCCAGCTCATGCTGGGTTTGGGAGCTATCCCTGCTGCAGCTCTGCAGTTTAAATATAGTAAGAGCGGGGTGGGCAGGCAGCCCGGCTCGCCTGCCTGCTAGAGCAGCCTCTGCCCACAGTCAGCCCTGGCTGCCATGGACAGGGGCTGCTGATAGAGGTAGCAGCACATGGGGGTGGGGAGGCAGCAGTGTGGAGATGGTGCTCAGGGGAAGCAGCTTTTATAAGTCAGCTCTCCC